TCTCTCTCTCTCTCTCTCTCTCTCTCTCTCTCTCTCTCTCTCTCTCTCTCTGTCTCTCTCTCTCTGTCTCTCTCTCTCTCTGTCTCTCTCTCTAGCACCCCGCCCCCCCCCACACACAATAACACACAAACAAATTACAGACCTATACACAAACTTAACAAGGGAATGTAGGAATCAGAGGCCTCTCACCAATATAAGTCAACAACAACAACAGCAACAACAACAGCAACAGCAACAGCAACAATGCACATACCAAACGACACTGCCACTGACGTCACCACCAGCTGCGGTCCCAACAGCGCCCGCAGAGTCCTTGACCTTGCCCTCGACGCCGTTCTGCTCAGCACTGGTTGCCATGGTAACGATGAAAGGGGCCGCACCCCGGGAAGTCTCTACAACCGTTGGGCACAAGATGGACATCCATCTATATGGTCATCTAAGAATAAATATTTTTTAAAATTATATATACTTTTTCTTCTTTTTTAAATGAATTTTAATGTAGATGTTTTTACACCAACATGGACACAATTTAAATCATTTGGAAGGCAGGCATACAACCCTGGCTGACAGGGCCAATCCGGGCTGAGAGAGAAACAACAGCCAAGCAGTAAGACCGAGACGCTTGATAAAAAAATTTCTCCCCATTCGGGAATCAAACCCGGGCCTCCTGTTGAGTTTTAGCAAGAGTTTTACGGCACTTGCAACACAATAAGGTTATATAAGTGCCGAAGATTAGAGGTGGTACAAGAGAGTAACAACAACAAAAAAAAAAGAAAAAAAGAACGAGGGGAGATAAAGACGATAGAAGTTTGATAGGAAAGAAGAAGCAAACTACAACAGAGCACCCGCCAACCACCCAACGCCGGTTTGTAAATTATGTTCGGCCGATATGATCTCCACTCGCGTATAGAGAGGGGCGACTGGTTTTGTCAACACGGCCCCACATTTATTTATACCATCCACAGGGGCAATCCGCTTCGACACAGGCAGTTGTGAGATACAATACAATACATCAGAACAGATTGTTTCTTTTGATGTGAGTATTACGGCGCTGGCATCTATATATAATATACATGAATAATATAAGGTCGTTTGAGCGAGCGGGGCACACGTTGGTAGCTTTTTAGATTTTGTTTTAGTAGAGGTATTACGGCGCTCGCAACTGCATAAGGTCATATGAGCGCCAGAAGATTACAGGTGTTACAAGAGAGCAACAAACATAAAAAAAGGAGGGGAGATAAGGACGATAGATGTTTGATAGGAAAGAAGAAGCAAACCACACCAGAGCACCCGCCAACCACACACGTGGTAGCTTTCACGTGAGTAACTCAATAACAAAAATACATTGGAAACTGACTAAAAACGTAAGGATGGGGGTGTCAGTATGTTGTTTCAGTAAGGAAAAGCACACGTGACAATAACAACAGCCACAGTCCAACGCAACGAAAATGGAAGGTAATGCTTTGCCTTTGTAACGT